TTTTTTTTTATGTTTGCGTTCTGAGGGTTTTGGGCGCTCGTTCGCATTCGGGCGAACATGTTCGTGTTCGCCTCCGATCGCTAACACGATGCTACGCTGATCTGAAAATTTGATTTGAGTTGGGTATAACATGGGTACTCCAATGGATGTCGTTAATATATATATATTTGGGCCAACAGGAAAGGAATCCCTGACAAGACAACAAAAAACAGGGTATGGATCTGGTGGCAACTGACACCTAATAATTGGGTGAAGAGGTACAAGTTGCACTCACACACTTCCAGGGTTTCTTCATTATGTCATTCGGATTCTTATTCATGCTGTCATAGGACACTGAACCCAGTTTCCAGCAGTTGTTACTCTGCAACAATAGATGGAGTGACCTTTCATTGAGAAAAAAAAGGAAGGAATCTCTGACAAGTTCCACTCTTCAAGTAGTTACTGAACAACAAAGTGTGTTTAGGGCATTAGACCCTGTCGCGCACGCACGACCTTGAACCGACACTCGCAGTCTTAAGAACGAAGCCTTGTAACCACTATAACCCTTGGAGGCGTTATAGAGAATGTGTCCACACTGAGGCATCTTGAACTTACACCACACACACAACGCCACCAAAATGCAGCCCCACAACCGCTACTTAACCTGGTCACTCCAAGGCGGACCAATTGCCTGCAGGTTGCACAAGGTGGCGCCTTCACAGCAGTTACTGAACAGCGTGTGTTTAGGGCATCAGGCCCCATCGTGCACGCACGGCCTCGAACTCACACCCTCAGCCTCAAGAATGAAGTCCCGTAACCACTACAACCCACACCATCTGAGAGCCTTTTTTTTTTTTTTCCTAATTGCTTGGTTCTACTGTGGGGGGGGTGGGTATAAATAGGGGTGAAAATTGGGGTGGGAAGAACCCCTCCACAACATTTTGAATGAAGTTCTTTGCCAGGGGAAAGTATGATCTTGATACTAACTTACCTCATACACTTTTTTTTTTATTATTAAGTTCTTTCTTCTTGTCGTTGTAGACATTGATTACATTCCAATATTACGTTACTGGGATAAGGGCATCGCAAGGGGAAAAAACAAAAAAAGAAGAATTGAGCACCACTCTAGGCTAGCAACCGAGCCGCTAGGATCACCTTGTTTGCCCAGTATGTGATGCCCAAACCTCACGCCCAGCGCAACTTCCTGATCGGAGTAGGTTGTGGGCCTTGAAGTGCGAAAAGCGGTGTGCCAAGGATTTTTGGAAAGTGGGGCTGGAGTCCCAGGTCGGAACTGAGATCTCCTCTGACAAGGTTCAGGGGCATAGATGCAATATGGCCGAGCGTGTAGGTGTCGCGCAACATAAGGCAGATGGCCTGCGCGGTGCACCTGGTCGGTTCGTTCTGCCGATTCTAATTGTGGCGGACTTCTTACGGGAACTTCTGTTCCTGGGAACCGGGTCGTCTAGTTAGGCCACGTGGCGATTGGACTCGCGCGTTGTTATTCCGGCGACTGCCGCGTCGTCGGGAATTTCGATGTGACTCGCGGGCCCAATGAAGGGCGATAGAGTGCCACGGTACCACAAGGAGTTGATGATACGGGAGGAGAAGTCGGAAGGGAGGAAAAAGAGTGGTGATGACGACGAAGCCGGGGAATATAAATCGGTGGGAGTGATGATCTTCTGGGAAATCGGGGCCGCGGGGGTTGTTGAGCGAAGCGAGGCGGAAATCCTCCTCACTCACCTGGTCGTTTTCGGTCTGGCACGGGAATTCCGGGTATGGCCGCAAAGGCCCCGCAAGAGGAAAAAACAAAAAAAGAAGAATTGAGCACCACTCTAGGCTAGCAGCCGGGCCGCTAGGATCACCTTGTTTGCCCAGTATGTGACGCCCAAACCTCACGCCCAGCGCGACTTCCTGATCGGAGTAGGTTGTGGGCCTCGAAGTGCGAAAAGCGGTGTGCCAAGGATTTTTGGAAAGTGGGGCTGGAGTCCAAGGTCGGAACTGAGATCTCCTGTGACAAGGTTCAGGGGCATAGATGCAATATGGTCGAGCATGTAGGTGTCGCGCAGCATAAGGCAGATGGTCTGCGCGGTGCACCTGGTCGGTTCGTTCCGCCGGGTCTAATTGTGGCGGACTTCTTACGGGAATTTCTGTTCCTGGAAACCGGGTCGTCTAGTTAGGCCACGTGGCGATTGGACTCGCGCGTTGTTATTCTGGCGACTGCCGCGTCCTCGGGAATTTCGATGTGACGCGCGGGCCCAATGAAGGGAGATAGAGTGCCACGGTACCACAAGGAGTTGATGATACGGGAGGAGAAGTTGGAAGGGAGGAAAAAGGGTGGTGATGACGACGAAGCCGGGGGACATAAATCGGTGGGAGTGATGATCTTTCGGGAAATCGGGGCCGCGGGGGTTGTTGAGCGAAGCGAGGCGGAAATCCTCCTCGCTCACCTGGTCGTTTTCGGTCTGGCACGGGAATTCCGGGTATGGCCGCAAAGGTCCCCACGGGGTTAGTCCGCGGCACAAATCGAGTTTCATGCTCATTCCATCATCCATCCCGTCATTAGGTGAGTCGCGCTCGTATCGACACGTGTAAGCAGCCCGGGCAGGGCCGTGCTTGCTCGCTTATATACGAGGACTTGCGACCGCACGCCCGTTAATTACCTACTCCTGTTACCCCGTGTGCAAATATCATTGTGCAGAAAAGACAATCACCCAACTGATCAGGCAGTCATCCCCTTAATTATGCAAAAGTGACGTCTGTCAGTTCAACAAAGTTTGGTGCACAGTTTGAGTTCGTCATGTCTGGGTGTACTAGTGGTTTAGCGTGGATGTAAAGTCACATCTGGCTGATAGAGCATACCGGTCAGAACAAGGAGGAAAAATCATGGAAGATGGGGGGAGACTCAAACTGATAGGCCTCTAGGGCCCTCCACAAAAAAGGAGCCTACGGATAAGCCCTCAGAGAGGAAAGGCAGAAATTCATGCTCCAATCAACTTCCATTGAACTTCAAGTATTACAGAAATGTGTTATGATCCTAGATATCTTGAAGTGCAATTATTACTCACAAAAAGACAATGTTATCCAATTGCAACTGAAATGAAAGAACTCAGAAAGAAAAAGAGACAAAGGAAGAAAAAGAAAAAGAAGAAGAAGTACATTAGCAACAAACATCAATATCAAATCCTTCTTCAACTTGCCACCATCTCCAACCTCCTTGAACTCCCCTAACATGGTGGAGTCACAAAAATGAATTATAATTGCACTATGGACCAAAATACAGTTTGAAATTGCAGTTCGGGCAATGTATACAACCCAACTTCAGGCTCGGTAGGGTGCCTGAAGTGCAATTGAAAACTATATCTTAAGTTGCCCCATAGTGCAATTATAAGTCTTTTTTCTGACTCTACTGCAGTTACCCTTAATAATAATAATAGCAATGAAAGAATGAACCAGTACCAATGTCTGAATTTTTTCCTTACTGCCAGTCGCTCATGAGGTTCACCATAACAACCTTCCTCCTTCCTAGTCAAGTAGGTGGCTATGGCGGACTAACAAAGCCTTGCTCCGATGTTTGAAGGACAAGGCAAAGTTGATGTGCCCGTCTTGCTAAGCCTATCGGTTGAAAATATAATATTTAAAATGTTGTTTTTGATACAGTAATAATTTAGTGATAGTTGGAATTAAAAAGTTAGGTTCGTTACTCGCCGTGATACATCGTCCCCGAAGGTATTTGGATCGTATTTTTGCAACTTGAATCAAATTTGTGGTTTTTCGATATTTGATTTTGAAATTTGCATTCATTAGGTGTTCGGATTGTTCTTTATGTCAGGATGTTCCTCCTCCTCCAACCCCTCTTTCTTTTGCACCTCGTACTTCTTCTTGAACTTTATCATTTGCCTTTTGCTTCCTCATATCTATATCCTCCTGCTTTGTAAATTTTGATTTAGTGTTACCTCTTATAATTGTGAATAAGGAAACAAGTGAATAAAATAATGATTGCTGTGAACTTTGAGGGGGCGAAAAACAAGGAGTTAAAGGAGAAGGAGGGAGAAAACGATGTACGATGACAATTGTTTCATTTGAGCATACAAAACAAGAATCCTTACAATTTTGTTTCCTTATTATAGCGATGATTTTCTTATGGTTGTTGATGTTTTCCAGCATTTTGCTTGATTGATGGATGACGTATTCATCGGCTTTACTTCCATCACTACTTGCGATGACGCAGCACACTCGTTACGTGGTTGATCCTCTAAGTACTTATGCTTATATCATGTAGTGACAAATACTAAACCGCACATATCTCAATGTGAAGATAATGAATATCGGGGTTTACAATTTTTTTTTTATGAATGACTCAGTTAGTATCCCTTTCATGGTTTCCTTATCACTAGGATGACCATTGTCATTGTAGAAATAATATGTGTCAGTGCAAACATCGTCGACCGGTGCCCAACTTCATTTTGTAATGCCATTGTTTTATGGAGATCAACTCTCTTTATGTACAATGCATATAGTAATGCACTCAGTATGAAAACCAAACATGTTACCCCAAAGAAGACTATTGTCCCAGTTGTTCCCGGAATAGGGGTTGAGAGCTATCAACTGCAACAGTACGAGACAAACAACACAATGTGACAGTTTCGCCGAAGATAACACCCCTGGTTAACCACATGTGGACAAAGAGAAATTAATGCAGGTTCCGAGTCTTAGAGTGGAAGGAGGATAGAAGTTCATAAAACTTTATGCAACAACTGTAACAAGGGCGCAATACCGGTTCCCAACACTTTGCGCCCCACAAATAAGACCGGAGCCACCACAACAGCGGGCATCCCATGAGACGTGGGCTCTTATCCCTGCCTGATGGCAGGCTGCTGCAGCCGGTGTTGAACAAAAAAAAAGGAAAATTAGGGCACAGTCACAGCTTTAGTTTGAAAATGCGCGTCAGTCACATTTCATGAATGTTATGCCAAAGCGAGGAAAATCGTGAATGTGTACAACCTAGCTTTACGGTCCGGGTGGGATGAAGTGGATTTTAAACTGAAATCGTGACTGCACCCTAGTTACCCCCCCTAAAAAATGGAAAAAGAAAAGGGCTCTTATCCCTGCCTGATGGAGGGCCGCTGCAGCTGGTGTTCAAAAAAAAAAAAAAGAATACTCGCTACCGGTATTATCGGCTAATGCACCCGGTAATGCCCAAAATTCGGCCACAGCCGCCCTGGCCAGAGGGCCTTGTCCACACGTGAGTTTGGGGAAACTGGGCCATCACCGGGCCATACACGACCTAGCGTGATGTTTATCGGGCTATATTCGCATTGCCCGGGTTTCGTGCCCAGACAGCAGTGCTCGGCCCTCAGTCAGGCCCCTCCCTCCTGTGCAGGTGCCAGGCGTCGAAGTGCCGCCCTTACCGGTACCCTGCTCCGAACCACTAGATCAGGTGCCGGCCCTGTCCAATTCACAAAGATGCCTGGGGCCGCCTTCCACGGCCCAGTTCGCTTCATACGGGACCGGCCGATCGTAACGCTATCTTCCTCACGATCACCAGGTACGACTCCATCCCCACCTCCATCTCCCCCTCCCTTCCCGTCATCCTTTCCCTCCCGCTCCTCGTCACCTTCCTTTTCGTCATCATCGTCCGCATGCCCGTCGTCGATTTCCCATCAATTCTCCTCCCTCTCTTCCTCCTCCGTCTCTTTCTTTGGTGTGTGTGTGTGTGTGTGTGTGTGTGTGCGCGCGTGCGTGCGTGTGTGCGTGTGTGCGCGCGTGTGTGTGTGTGTGTGTCAAAGAGAGAGAGAGAGAGAGAGAGAGAGAGAGAGAGAGAGACGTTACTCATCCT